TGGACCTACCTGCTACTAGCTGTCCTTTATGGGCTTGAGGAATTAATTTGGGTTCTCCTCATGGTTTTAAAAATCGGACCGGATTGAACCGCCGACCGGTCGAGGTTCCGGTCCGGGTACACCCACTAAACCGGTTTACATGTCTTTTAAAGAGGTTTGGGTTCTCCTTTATGTTTACTTGTCTTTTAAAGAGAGTTTATTTCTTTCTTATTTTATATATATAATAAAAATTTAATTGGAAACTCTCTTTTAAGGGTCTCCTCTTATGAGAAATCTCATTGAGAGCTTGAAATTATTGTGAAAGCTTCTATCTATTTATAAGAAAAAAATTCTTCCAAAAAAACTCAAGAAATCTATATGAGATTCAATCAAATTTATTGGAGGGAAACTTAAAATTTTGATATCCCTTCAAAATTTTTGCTCTTCTTTCAATCAAATTATTTGAATTAAAATCATATTAAGGGAATATTGAATATTAGATTTCTTCTTCCAAAATTAAAATTAATAATATTTTTAAATATATTTTTATATTTTTTAATAAAAAAAGTATTAAGAGAAATATTTAAGATTATTAAAATTTTTAATTTATAATTTTATTACTTATATTTTTATTTAAATATAATTTTAATATATTTATGACGTCACGGTTCGATTCCGGTTCAACCCGACGGTTGAACCAGTGGCCCGTCCACCCGATCACTTTTCCGGTTCATTCACCGGTTCGATTTTTAAAACATTGCCATCTTTTTTAGTCAATAAATTTGGCCTGGACTCATACTTCTTCAGTCCACATATAAGTTATTAATAATTAAAATCATAAACTTTTTCACACTTTTGTAAATATTTTTTTTTATCTCTCATTAATTGTTATTTTTCTTAATTGGAACACTATACAAGTTAAAAAGGCCTAATCACAAAGGGGTGACCTCTAAACTTAGACCTTAAGGAGTCTAGGCCTTAAAAGTTACTCTTAAATGGTGTTATATAGGAGAGTCATTCAACCATGTAACAGTAAGTTACGCATTCCCACACAAATAAATATTCAAATACATAGTCTTGATACTGGTACAATTGGCTCAAACTATATACACTCTCACCCGAATAACTAATCCTCAAAAAAGTGAAATCCAAAATCCCAAAGACCATACGAAGTTACACACCCCTGGGTATAACACAAGTAAAATACACATGTAATTTTGTAAAGGATACATGGATACAACCGTAATTCAATACCTTAAGATATTTTCGTTTAGGCGCTAAGCCCTCGTCCAACTAGTCTATAGAGTATAGAGCATAGACTATTAAATATCTTTTTTAAATTTGAGTCCGTCAGTCCACCTCATACAACGGCATCACGTGACAGAGGGCCGCTCCAAAAATATCTTCCGCAATCCCGTACTTGTTAACTCGAGTTACTCAAGCCAGGGGTACATTTGTTTGGTTATGACTACACGGCATCCACTAGTCTGCATCGCAATTTTTATTTTTCTTATATATTTTTTTTGGGTTTGGCCGTGGTCCAGTCCGTCATCAGATTGGATCGTACTGTTGAGTCTGTAAGGATCTATTATAAGTCTTGTTTTGAAAATTTGAACTGTTCAATATGTAGAACTCGTCGAGTACTATATTCCTGTGAAAAATCACGTTGATCGAACATCGATAGATATGTGATCAAATCAGTTTGTATAAAAAAATAGACGGTGAATAATTTAACGGTTGATAAAAAACTGTTTTGATCACATAGCTATCGATATCCGATCAATGTAATTTTTTACAGGCATATAGTACTTGACGAGTTCTACACATTGACGGTTCAGATTTTCAAAACGAGACCCGTGATGGGCCCCTACAGGCCCAACAGCACGGTCCAGTCTGATGATGGACTGGACCAAAGCCAGGCCCTTTTTTTTTTTATAATGAAAAGGGTAAATTTATATTTAACTATTTTTTTATTATTTTAAATCTTATAATTTTATTTTTCTCACTTTAACTTTTTATATTTTATTTTATTTTAAATTTATTTTAACAACTATATTTAAAATTAAACAAAAAATAATATATAATTGCCACGTGATGTAAACATATTTTATTATATAATTCACTTCTGATCTAAATTCAAATCCCAATATAATAATATATTTTTATGTCATATGGAAGTCAAAATAAATTTTTTTCACTTAATTTTAAACAAAAGTTAACTTTAACAGGTAAATTAAAAAAAACTTAAAACATTAAGGAATATATTAAGAAAAATAAAATTTAAAGAACTAAAGTAAAAAAAATGGCCAAATATAATGGACGTAAAGTGTAATTTACCCATATTTTACTTGCATTCAAATCTTATTTCAAGGCTAATTTTGTAAAATGTTTGGTTGAATTTTTGAAATTTGCTAAAAATTTGAAAAGGCTAATTTGATGATTGAGAAAAAACTTATTATTTGCATATGGTTTTTTTTTTATAAAAATAATAAATAAATAAATATATATAAAAAAATGTAGGAAAATAACACCAACAAAAAAAAAATTGTAATTTGATGGAGGACAAATAATAATAACAGTGGGTATGGAAAGTTGTAAAATAATTATAAATAAATAGAATTCTTTATAAAATTACAAAATCCACCCTTTTTATCTCTCATTTTCTTTTCTCTTCTTCTTTATTTGAAAATCCTCGTTCTCATTGGCAATCCTCTCTAACAATTTGTGGCAACGACATCTCTTCCTTTACAATGAAATCACTAGTTTCCCTCCACCCTCCTTTGACCATCCAACTACTCCATCAACCTTCTTCTTTTTTCCACAACCTCTCTCTGTAACACCTAATTACTTTTCTTATTGCCACTGCAACCCCTAATGACCTAATTGTGACCCCTAACCACCATCATCATGAAGTTTGAAGTGGTAGAAGTCTAGGTAGGGCGGCAAATGGGTAGTGGTGGTTGCTGTGAGAAAAGGAGACAGAGAGATATGAAAATGGTTTTGTACAAAGGTAGTGGCTACATGAATGGACTTGGAGGTCGAAGGATATATAGTGGTAGTAGGAGGATGATAATGACAGAATGATGGTGGTAAGAAGGTGGAAGAGAAGGCGTTGCAATAGCATGATAATGTTGAAAGAATTGTTGGGGTTGGTAGAAAGGGAAAGGAATTGTCTGCAACAAATAGTAGCCGTCGAAGTTGTAGAGGGAGTGGAAGAGGAAGATGAGAAGATGGTATTTTTATCTCATTAAGCTATTGACTCTATGTTTTTGCAAATAATTTTAAAGATTTCATCTCCATATAAATTTTGGGAAACATCCCGTTGATTTTCAATTTTTTTTTTAAATTTTTCCAAAAGTATTTTTTTTTTGTTATATTTACTTTTTTCAAATTAATATATAATTTTCTAATTTTTGTTTGAGTTTCAAAATGCAAATTTTGCTTCCCCAATCCCATTTTAACCTGCCCCGTCCGAATTATATTTATTAAATATATTTATATATAAATAATATATATAATTTAATTTTTTCAATATAACAAGATTAAACTACTAAAATAATACACTTACCATTCATGTACACTTATTTATTTTTCATCTTACATATTTGAACTTTCATTCATTATAAATTGTGAGAAATGATTTTGAAATACTCCTTTAATCCAAATAAGTTTTTGAAAGATTCTTGAGATGTCACCTGAAACAAAAGAAAAACTCTAGTTGATAAACTCTAGTTGATGGTATTGGAATTAGCAATCCGACGAGTAAGTTAATTCCTTTAAGAGGAATAGTCTTTTGTTTTTAGAATGCAAGTTTTTTAGCCTCTCTCTTCTTTTATAGAGTCATTTCCCTTCATATTTTCTCCATGTAGTTTAGCCCTTCATTATCACTCTATCAGAACCCATCTCCCTATTATACTTTTTAGAAAAGGACAATTGGTTCTATCTAATGGGACCATGCCAACTTACTTTATATACTCGGCTTAGACGCACGGCACAAGCGTCCTTAACTCGGCATATTCTTCTACCCATTTGTACTTACTCGGCAATAACTTGTTCGAATCCAATGGACCTTGGCTAAATTGGGCCCATCAAAAATAGACTTGGATGCTGTGTTTGCCGATTAGAGGTTATTTTTACTTGGCCCCCACATAAATTATTATTCATAATATACTATATTATCTCTAATTATTATTGTTATTACTTTTATTTAAATTACAAAATTAATTTGTCCTATCCTGACACCAACCCATTTTGCCTCGCTTCTAATAAGATGAGACATGAGTGGGGTACTACAAATTTGTTCCAAACTGCTACCGTGACCATCACTAATTATGCATTATATATAGAATGAATTCTAGGTAAAATTTTAGGATTTTTTTGTCAACACATGTATTTAAATAATTAAAGATCAGAAGAAAAAAATGTAAGACTAGTGTGTAATGTACCATGCTATTACCATGGCATAGAATTCCACGGTTAACGTGTGGTATCCAGTATCCAGAACCAAACAGGGCGGAACCGCCAACAAAACTTCACCCTAACCCCGGTTAACCCATAAAAAGCACATGCTGTAGCTGCAGCCAAACAACACTGAACTACGAGTTTTTTTTTTGAACGATACGAACTATGAGTTTGTTTAGTGGTTATTTGAGATGATTTAAATAAGTATATTTTTTGATTTTTATGTAATAATATGTAAAAAATTAAAAAGATAATATGATTCAAAAAGATGAAATAATAAAAAATATGTTTATATAGCACCCTCCAAACAAACTCTTAGCATTTCTTAAATAAGTATATCTATTTAATTTATATTATTATATATATATATATATCTTTTTTATAAAAAATTTAAAAATATATTTATTTAAATTATTCTAAATAATTCCTAATAAACTCCAAGCTTAACCTTAATCACGGTTAACCATAAATGCCAAGAGCGCAGTGCGCACAGGGATTAACTTAACTTAACCCTGGTTAACTCTACCACATCTCAGCTATAAAAGCATGGTATGGGGCGACCTGATTTTCTTGTGCTCTCTAGGCCTCTTCTGTATCAATCTCTTTTTAGGGTTTTTCCCTCTCTATATCTCTTTCTCTATCTCTTCCTCTCTCATCTATGGCTGCGGAGGTAGAGTACAGATGTTTCGTCGGAGGTCTCGCCTGGGCCACCGACGGCCAGTCCCTAGAAAGGGCATTCTCTCAGTTTGGTGAAGTCGTCGACTCGAAGGTCCGTCAGATACACGTCGCAGAGATCGGATCCGACTCGATTCGGCTTTGTTGACCCCTGATCTGTTCTCTGTTACTCTTCTCTGGTTTTACTGTTCTGTTAACTCTATATGTTACTTTTATTGATACCCTGAAACGGTACGTTCATCTTCCTCTTTTCTTAAAAGACGGAGATCGATCGATTCATTTTCAGTTTCGGTTCAATACTGTGTTTGTATGTGTTTGTATGTTGTAGATCTAATCGATTTGTTTGGTTTGTTTGTTGTTTAGATCATCAACGATCGCGAGACTGGCAGATCGAGGGGTTTTGGATTCGTGACATTCAAGGATGAGCAATCGATGAAGGACGCCATCGAGGGGATGAACGGCCAGGATCTTGACGGGCGTAACATAACCGTCAACGAGGCTCAGTCTCGCGGAAGCGGCGGCGGCGGCGGCGGCGGAGGGTTCCGCAGTGGTGGTGGAGGTGGCCGACGTGAAGGTGGTGGCCGTCGTGAAGGCGGTGGGTACGGTGGTGGCGGTGGGTACGGCGGTGGTGGTGGCCGGTGGACGTGACCGTGGTGACGGTGGTGGGTCCCGCTACTCGAGGGGGGGCGGTGATTCCGATGGAAGCTGGAGGTATTAGGTTTTAGAGGGTTATATGGATTTCGAGTGTGTACTCTAATATTTGCTGATCGTTGGCTTAGATCTGTAATGGGTTAGGGTTTTAATGTTTTCGTTTTGTTACTTTTGGTACTGTCTTGTTTTGATCGCCTGCTAGCTATTTATCCTTGCTGTTTAGATTTCCCGAATATGAAAAAGAAGTTACAATGAATGAAAAATGAATTTAAACTTCAATTTTGTTGTTTTGGTGGTTCTTATTTCATCAGTTTTTAATTTTGTCATTCTGAAGCTTGGATGGGGGGATTTGTTGATTTGTCAAATTTTGTAGTTATGCATTTTAATGGGATCTTATCATTTTAATTTGTAATTTTAGTGATATGAGTTGGAACAAAGAGCAAAAAAACGAAATGTAGTTCTTCAGTTAGAAGGGTTTAATGTCGTTTGTGGTATATTTGATCAGCATATTTTTTTTCACATTGGATTTGTAATTTTTTTTTTTTTTTGAAATATTATGTTCCTTAAAAAGTAGGGGAAATATCAAGTGAAGCGTATGTTTTGAAAAAAATTAGGGTAAATCACACTCGCTTCTGATAATTACAGGAACTTTCATTTAGTTTTAATAATTACACCTAATTTTTTTATTTTTTAAATTATTATGAAGATTCTCCCATTTGGTTATTTAACAAAAATATTCATTAATACTTTTTATCTATTTAAATAAAAAATTCCACTCATCTCTTTTCATTGAGGTTTTACATATAATATTAGTATGAATTACATTGATAGTGTCAATAGTTTAGAATTTAGGGCAAATTACATATACACCCCTCGAGGTTTGGCTAAATTACAGATACTCCTGAGGTTTGAGAAATTACGAATTTCTCCCTGAATGTTATATTTGCATAAGAAATTAGGAGGTAATTTGTTATGAAATATAAACTTCAGGGGGTAAATTGTTATGAAAATACATACCTCACGGGGCGGGATGTAATTTCTGAAACTTCAGGGGTATTTGTAATTTAACCAAATCTCGAGGGGTGTATATGTAATTTGCTCTAGAATTTATAATATTAAAATTTATTTTTTAATTGTGAAACATTTGATATTTTATAATTTGTGATGTGTTTAGTTGTGCTAGTTATTTTCTTGATAGGTGTTATTTCTTCATTCATCCTGCAAAATTTGTTGTAAGAAACAATTTAACAAGAACTTAATACAACGATAAAATATAAATTAGCTTGATACAAATAAAATTAAAATTATTTTTAAAATTTTAAATATTACTTTTATAATAAAATTATATGAAAATAATAATTATTTTTTTTATATTTTTAGTTTTTTAATTATTTATTAAATTAATTTTTAATACATATTTGGGTGATAATTATGTAATAAGTGATTGTTTTTTATGATTATTATATAACAGATGGTTGTATATATTGTTTATAAATTTTTTATGGTTATTATATAATAGATGATTGTATATATTGTTAATAAGTTTTTTATGGTTATCATATAATAGATGGTTGCATATGTTGTTAATAGATCTGTTTTAATATATAATTGATATGTTTAATATATGAAATGTTTTTAATTTTTAATTTTTTAATTTAATAAATTAGTTTAATAATGATATTAAAATTATCCCTTTCAAAAGATAAAATTATATAAAAATATGTTTTTAAATTTTTTTAACCAGTTTAATTTTTAGTTTTTTAGAAATTTTTTTTTTTCTAAAAATAGATTCTGAAAACCAAACCAAACAGAACTTTATAATTAAGAAAGTTTCAGCATTATTCATTAAAAGAAAAAACATTATATTTCAAACAACATATAAGTTAATCAATAAAAATTGTATGACAATTTTACCTTTCAAATAGAGTATTAATGTTTTCAATTGTCCTTATTTAAAATAAAATTTAAAATTAAATATATTACAATTAAAAATTTTAAAACTAAAATAATACCAACTCTAAATTATAATGACTAATAATATAATTCACGGTATATATAGTATGATACAGACTTTAGAGACAAACATACTTTATCAAACATACTTTACCCTGGTGATAGGAGTTGCTTTTGCTACCTCTTTTTGGGTGAGTACTTTTGCTACCTCATAGGCAGCTTGCGCTGCTAGTTTAGGTACTTTAGACCATCTTCAACGGTGAACTAAACTTGGCATCAAATTTAAAATTTGATAAAAAAGTCACTTTTTTAAGCTCTAACGGTTTCACCAAATCGATATCAAATCCAGATTCAGCAAAAATGGTACCAAACTGAGTGCAGGTGAAGCATTTCAGCAAATCACTGTTCCTAACCGTTGGGATGAGACGAACGGGTCGACCATCCGGTTGACCAATCGGTTAACCAACCGGTCGCCCCGGAGAAAGTTCAGACCGTTCACAAAAAGGTTGAAACCAGTCCAAAAAAAAAAATTTGCCTAGGTGGTCGACCACCCGGTCGACCACCAAAAGTTCAAAAAATTAAAAAAAAAAGGTTCAAACAGGTAAAAAAAAAAAAAAAAATATTTTGCCGTTAGGTAAAAAAAAAAAAAAAAAAAAAATTATTTTTTGCCGTTACCGGTTGCCCAGCGCAAATTTGATGAAACGGATTTGATGTTGAACCGTTGGAGCGCGAAGTATCAAATTAAGGAAATGACCCCTTTTTAACTCAGATTTGGTGAAACATTTGATACACCGTTGGAGATGCTCTTAGAGACTCATTCGTTACTTATTTTTTTATTTTTTTTATTTTTATGATAAGAGTCCACATTGTAAACTTTCTAATAAGAAAGGGAAAAAAATATGAAAGGTTAATTGGAGTTATCATTAGAAAGGGCAGATAGGTCTGTGAGTATTTTTGGTCGGAAAAGAATTTTTGTATCGAATATTATCTAATTTTTTAATAATATAATGATAATTTATTATTAGATATTGTTTGTTATAACAATTGTGGTATAATTATGTATTTTTATAGTAGTATTAAATTTTTTTAAATCAAAATGTTATTCAATCATAATGTATTATCTCATATTCCAAATTATTGAGTAACATTTCGATAAAAAAAAGGCATAGTATTACCAAAAAAAATACATAATTGTATCATCAATTTTTTTAACACAATAATTTCGCTTTAGATATTGAGCTATATGTATGAAGTAGTGGCCAGGATAACTGCAAAGTGTGAGGAGAAATAAGTAATAGTTGGTGAAAGAAAAGAGATAAGAAAAGAAGCAAATAGAGAGTATTTTTGGCATTTCATATACAAAAATTAACAGTGTTTGGGACAAAGTTAACAAAAGGGGGTATTTGTATACTGTCGGTAAAATAAGAGAGGTTAGTGTAATTTCCAAAATGTCAAGAGAAGTTGCTGTAGTTGTTAGAAATCTCAAGGCTAGTAACTGTAATTTTCCCTAAAATAAAAAAAGCAATGTTAGAGATTCTAAGAAAATTATCAAAATTTTTAGGGCAAATTACCTACACCCCCTTGAAATTTAGCTAAATTTATAAATCCCTTCATGAGGTTTCAGAAATTACACCCCCATCGCAATTAACGCTGTTAACGGAAATAGTAAATTGACTAAACTGCCCTTGGGTAAATTACATTGACATCCTCTATGGTTTCTGTTTAATAGAGATCCCCCCCTCGCATTTGAAAAATTACATTCCCCTCCACAAGGTTTGCAATCTCATTACAAATTGTCCCTTAGATTACTGATGTCATGTCCTAAATTTTTTAAAGACCATCTTACCCTTTTCCCTATCATTTCTTCTTCCTATCATCATGACTACATTCTACAACTTTTTATTACTAAATTCTATCTAAATATATTGTTATTGAGTGATATACAAACACAAATTTTGTATAAAATTTTCAAATACAATGATATATCCTAATGGTGACCTTTTATTTTAAAACAAAACATCTATAAACATGATTTATATATTTACAACAATATCACTATCACAACATTTTTATGATATTTTTTGAATAAATTTTTATATATGAATATAAGTTTTTATTTTTATTTCCACCATCATATCTAGATTAGATCAATTTAATTTAAATATATTTAAAAGGTGTAAAATTTGTGCAAATTTTTTTTTTATAATAAAAATCCATTGAATACAACAAAAAGAAAAAAGAAGAAGAAGAAGATAATGTGAATATAAAATTAATTAATTGAATAAGTTATGAAATGTAAAATTAAAATGGAAAAACACTTATCAGATAGTGAAAGTATCATAAAATTAACAAATAATTAAATAAGTTACCAACGTAAGAAATAGCTTATCAAAAGATTCTTAGGCTATGTTTGGTTTAATTTTTAGATTTTTTTTTAAAATAAAAATTTAATTTGGTTAGGAAATAAAAAAAATAAAAAATAAAAAATAAAAAATATCATTTTTATAGAATTTTATCTCTTGATTGGTTAGAAATAATTTTTACATATTAAACATATTTTTTCATATTTATTTTTATTAAATTAGTTTTCAATTTTTCAAAAAAAAAAAAAATCTGAATTTTTTTCTAAACAACAAACCAAACATGATTCTAAAAACTTTTTAATTTTTTTTTTCATCTAACGTAATTCTTTTGTAAATTTTGTTGATTTATAAAAGGAGTTTCAAGTTAAATCAGATTGTTTTGGTGCTTTGGAAAGGTACCAGGGGCAATGTTCATCAATATATATTTTGATGATGTCAACATGTTTCTGTAACCATTCTTAACGTTTAGCTCACGGCATGGATTAAATTGTTACGTGAATATAAATCTCAATAGGTGGGATGTAATTTCTAAAATCTCAAGGGAGAATTTGTAATTTAGCTAACTCTCAAAAGAGGTGTAGGTAATTTGCCCAATTTTTTACCAAACACTCACATGGGTATTGTGGACCCCACAATCATGTAAGTGTTTGATAAAAAATTTGATAATTTTATTAAAATTTCTAACATTTTTTTTTTAAAAAAAAGAAGGTGAATGTACAACACGTTATTATAATATATACTAGCGGTCGAGGAACACGCGAAACGTGTAAATTCACACAAAAATAAAATAAAATAATATTATATTGTGTGATTCATATTTTTTTCTCTAATAATGTACATATGTATCATGAGCATAATATAGTGCATTGCAATGTAACATTTGTTTTTCATAAAATTTTATAAATAAATATGTACAACATAATATATACAAATCTTAAAAAAAAAAAATACAATATTTACTAATTT